GTCTGGGATTTTATCTAATTTACCATACTCACTCTGTCAAAAAAAAAAAAAAAAAAAAGGGAAAGAAAGAAAACAAAAGGGAGAGGCAGCAGGAAAAGAGAATATGAGAATTCTCTGATGACAAAGCGGCTTTCACACCATAAGCAAAAATTCCCAGGGGACATACAGTGTGTTGTTTCCTTTTTTATTTTTTAGGGTATGTGGCAAAGACTGGTAAATTGTTCACTGAACCCATCTCCCTTTCTGTGCTGTTCAGCTTCCCCAGCTTCTGTGGCAATTAGGGTGGCCATGTGACTGACTTCTGGAGTATGAGCAGAAGTGACGCACAGCACTGCAGGCATAGCACGTAAAATCACCCTGCAGGACCACCCACTCCGTCTCTTCCCCAGAATGCTGCCCGCTGCAGAGGACCCAAAGCCCTAGGGGGGAGCCTGGGTCCCCGAATCACCCACCAAACACATGTAAGGAGCTGTTATATGAGCAGAAAGTAAATTTCTACTGTGAGAAGTCACTGAACTTGGGAGTTATTCGTTATAGCAGCTTGCCTGCCCTAATACAGACTGATTAATACTAATATGGTATATCCGATTCTCTCAACACTTTCTGTTTAGCTGAAATGTTCATCCTGACATTTGCTATGACTAGTTTAGGTTTCATTCCTCTATCCCCTGAACCAGATAGAATGCTCTGTTGTACTCAATGCACCAACTCTGGAGGTCCACAATGGTATTGCACCATGACAGAAGAAGAGCGGAGCGAAGCTGGGAGATGGACACACCAAGGGGAGCGAATGTGATGTTACAATCCGAGAAAATTAGAAAGGTGAAGAAAAAGCAAATCCCAATTCTAAACCATCTTGAGAACCTTTGCTAGTTTATTCCTTTATCCCATGGCAACAGTTACATAAAGTGATTATGTCCTTGCTTTATAAAAGTGCTATTCCTCTTCCTTCGAAACTACATTTAAACTTCAATATTTACCTTGATAGTTCACTTACAGGTGCCAGAAGCAGAACGGTCACACATCCCTGCAACACAATTTAAAAAAGAAAAGAAAAATAAATTTCTTGCAGAAGTAAAAACACAACATATTCCATTTACTTCCCACACACTAAAATCTTGTCCTTTCTCAGTAGAAACAACAAGCAATATTTTTCTGTGTAAAAGGAAGTGGAGAGTTTTCCAGGCTTCTCTGTTTCTCCCCAAACAGATGGGCTTTCACATTCAAGAGACACTGGAGCTGCCATAACCTTGAGTGGACGTGAGCTTGGCCAGATTGCACTGTCCAAATGCCAGGACCCAGGGCCCTGGGGAGGTCCCTGATGCATGTGGCTGTGCTCTTGGAGGATCTTGGTCACTCCGGCACGTTTCTTGCAGCAATCTGCACTTGGAACAGCATTTGATATGGAGGGAAACACTAGTATAATATCAAGGTGTGTATACTTGCAAAACTTGCTGTCTCCTGTGTGAAATAAATTCTGCTAATTTGTTGGTAGGAGCTAGTTTAGTATTTTTTTGGTATCAATGTGACTGGAGACTATATCCCTGAATAAGTGCCAGGCACTGGCTCTGAACTAGCTAAATGCTTTGCATGTGTTATTTCCTTAAATCCTCACAATAATCCTATGGAGTCAGCAATTTTATTATTTCCATTTTACAGGTGAGGAGACTGAGGCAGAAAGAGGTTGAATGATGTGCCCAAGGGAACAGAAGTCATGAGTAGCAGAGTTGGGCTTGCTAAACATCATGTGGTCTTTGAGCTCAGGTCCATCAGTGCTGGAACAAGCTATGGTGTTAGTTGAATTCACAGTAGGTCATGTCATTTTCCCACCAAACTATCTCAGTCTGGGTACAAATAAAATCTCAGCCTGCTGGGTTTTTATTTTTTTTAACCTCAGTATGACATATACCAAAAATTCTGTGTCAAGTGTCTTATGTAAGATTTTTCCAGTGCATAACTATTAATGGGAATTGCATCAGCATCATTGGGTTCTGTCACTTTTTCATGCCATTATAGCACCATTTAGAAGTTCATTTAATTTCAAAAAGTCACCATATACTGTTCCCTTCCCTCCATGTCTCTCTTCCTTAGCTAACGTGTCATTTTCTCACTTCACACTCCCTCATTAGAGCCCAGCAATCTGGCTTCTCTCCCTGATCCTCCACTGACATTTTTCTCACCACTGGTTCCATTTCTAATAAATAAATCACATGGGGTTTTCTCAGTCTCTCTTCTTCCTCAAGTTCCCTGAATGTTCAGCTGCTAATCACCTCTTCCCTCCAGACATCCCTTCTCCCTTGGCTTCTGCTGGCTCCTTTCCTCTCTGTTACCCCAACACTTCCTCCCTCCAGTGCTCTTTGAGTCTTACTGCTGAGCTGTTTTCCCTAAGCCAATGATATTCATGACTACATCTCTCCCTGAATCCCAAACCGGGATTTGTGGCTTCCAACAGGATGCTTGCACTTGCCGGAACTTGGCTGTTCTAAAGCCACCTCACTCTCAACATACTCAGCATCAAACCTTGGGCCTTAGCTTGGCCAGCAGGGAAGCTGAGCAGCTCCATTTGCTTGCAGCGCCTTCCATTCTCTTGGTATGCTGGGATTGGGATCCTACGCTTGGAGCTCGATAAGAATGATTGGAATGTATCTAGCCTAGTGTCTGGCATGGAAAAGGTGCTCTGTAAAACCATTTTCTCTTTCCTTTTCCTTCTGTCTCCTACCCAGTGTTTATGGAGTCACCAGGTCTGTTGAACATGGAAGGAAATGCCAGCTTTATTCAGTTCCATCCACCCCACGGCCACTCCACTGACCCCTCATCCGTCAGCCTGGAATAGTATGAAGCTTTTGAACCCGTCTCCCAGCCCGCATTTCTCCAGGGACCCACCCTGTTCACTGATACCATGGCTATCACTCTGCAGCTTTCCTGCTAACCAAATCACAATGGAGCCCTGTTATCAGTTAGATTAGATCAGGGCCCTTCAGCTTGACTTTCAAAGCCTTCCATCCATGGGGGCTGTCATTCGTTCAACATTTCCACCCCCACACACGAAAATGAGAGCTCTTTCCTTTTTTTTTTTTGAGACGGAGTCTTGCTCTGTCACCCAGGCTGAAGTGCAGTGGCCAGATTTCGGCTCACTGCAAGCTCCGCCTCCCGGGTTCACGCCATTCTCCTGCCTCAGCCTCCCAAGTAGCTGGGACTACAGGCACCCGCCACCTCGCCCAGCTAGTTTTTTTTTGTAATTTTTAGTAGAGACGGGGTTTCACCATGTTAGCCAGGATGGTCTCGATCTCCTGACCTCGTGATCCGCCCGTCTCAGCCTCCCAAAGTGCTGGGATTATAGGCTTGAGCCACCGCGCCCGGCCGAGAGCTCTTTCCTTTAGTCCACCCAGTGGCCCCACCTCTTTTCTGCCTGCTGTCTCTGTGTCTTGCTCAAGTTGTTCCATTTTTTCAGATGCACTTTCCCTCCCCAGAGTTTGTTTCCTTCAGGATCAAGCTGACCCACAAAGATGGTCTTGCTCACTCAGTCCAAAATGTTCTTTATTTCTTCTGAATTCCTCTAGCGTTTACAGTCAAGATCCCATACCCTCTGACTACCGCTAATAGAATCCGCTGGGTTCTTACCGTTGTAAAGACTGTTTCAATCACTCCTGAAAATAACTTGGAGAGAGATATGTCCACCTGTTCTCGCCAGTGAGGAAACTGAGGCTCACAAGGTGAACATCTCAGAATTGCGTCTGGGATTTGGTTCTGAAGACCACATCCTCACTCCTCACTGTGCTAGATTCTCTTGTATTTGTTTCTTTTTGTCTCCCAATAGGATTTAATGGCACAGATCATTTATTGTGCTGTTTTGTTGCTTTTCCAATGGGCCTAGCTAAGGACTGAGAACACGATATTCATTTGATAAACACTCACTGATTTTGACTTCTGACTTCCAGACTTAATAATATTGTGACCCTCAAAAGAGGTAGGCAATTTATGTAAGCAGTGGTCACCAAAATTATTTAATCTGATAAATAACAGATAATAATCAGCACCACGCCAAAGTGACCAGTGATATCCAGGTGACAAACTGCCTAATCTTGGCTGTCTCCTTCCTTTTCCTCCTTAAAAATAAGAAAACCAAGGTAAAACGCCCAAGAGCTCATTGCTATTCTGAAATCATTTTGCTTCCAACTCTTATTTAAATCATCTCAGGGGTTTTGTTGACATTATCTGCCAAAGATTGTAATTCATCTTTCCAAAAGGAGAGAAGCATCAGCCCATCAAACAATGCCCTTCCTTCTACAGACAGCTGAGGTCTGAGGTTCCCTCCCGACTGCCAGGGCTAGTGCTTGCTACCAGGCCAGCTGCCTGCGCAGGGCCCCTGGATGCATTTCTAAAGGGTCATATTTACAGTGTCGGATGGCTGGGCACTGTGGAGCTTAATGGGATTCTTAATAAAGGCAGCCTTCATTAAGACGGGAGTACAGGCAAGGTGCCCTTGCTTTTGAGGAAAGCACGACCCAGTGCAAGACGGATGCTCCCCCTTGGCTTGGAAATCACGCGGGTCAAGTGCCTTGTCATGCATTAACAGCCTTTTAAGTTCCTAGGCAGATTAAGAGGAGCGGTGTAGATAAATGAAAGAAGAGGAATCATGCGATCTGTCTTGGTAGCATAAACATTGAGACACAGCAGCTGCATTTAAACATAGCAATTTGCTAAATGAGTGGTTGGCGACTTTCCAGATGGCCAGGGTGACATAGGGCTTGGATGAATCCTTTATTCAATCATGCATCTGTCTAGACAGAGACATTGAAGGCCAGGTTACAGCCACTGCAGCAGTGGCAGCAGCGGCAGCAGCTTTGAAACCCTTATATAAAACATGCTCAGTATTGCCTGTGAGGCAGCTTGGCCACAGATCAGCTGGAGAGGGTGCGGCGGCATGGTGTGCGTGCAGCCTCCAGGAATGCTGTCTTCTCAGCTGAATGACGGCCGGCTTGGACCAGGGGCTCTCTCTGTGCCCATCTTCCTACCGTGTCACTTCACACACCGACCCGAAGAGATGGGTGGCTGACCTTAGGGGGCTAAGAGCAGTATCAGAGTAGAAAGCAGCAATACTGGTTGTGTTTTATGTCCCTTTTTTTAAATGTGCACTTTAAAATCATTTCACATGTGTTTTATCTTGATTTTTCTAGTTGATTTAAAAATTCCCTAAGTAGATACAAATGTATGCTTAGCTTTCAGCCATGACCCTACTGTGCCTTCCCTTTTCCCTACTCCTAGCATTCAATTCAGTCTTGGATTGAGG